AGTAGGTGTACGTTTTATTTGCTTGTGGCACACCCCTCGGAATAAGTACTCGAAAACAACTCTAACCTAACTTCAGTAAAAACACAAAAGTTTTCACACCGTATTTTGGTTTTGGACACTACTACAGTCCTCGGCACACAATCGCACTTAGCAATTTTTCGCGTTTATATAACTCACTCGCAGCGCCATGTCATGTTACATTCAATAATAACAAATATATATTGATGAACATTTATTCGAGGTCATTGACTGCCGCCATCATTGTACCGACTGTGTCTCCTGTCCCTAGTAGGGACTATACATATAATCATGACACCATCCAATGACCAGGGGTATCGATTCCCGAAGTTAGTCGATATGCTCCGTGATGTGCATGTGATGTGACCGGCTGCCATGACGTCATGATCGTATACGATAGGGATAAGTTCAAGTTTAGCTGCATTCCCGAATCGCGAACAAACTGTATGCGCTAACCAATCACAGACAAGAATTGAACTGTCATTTGTCAGTTTTGTATTTTGTTTCGTTTTTGCATTAAGGATACTGTTATTAATAACCAGAAAATCCTCGAACAATTCCATGTTTTATTTCACAGAAAATATGTGAATTTATAGGTTAGGGCACTGAATAACCTCTATAGCAAAACAGCTGCAAGATCCATCCTGTAGCTGGAACTGCGCATGACTTTCACGCAACGAGTGGTCTAGACCAGTCGTTGCGTTCGAATGTTCGATCAACTTTTCGCTCGATGTGGTAGGTTCGAGAATGCAGTGACATTCACGTTCACATCAAGGTCAGTCGATGTGAACAAAGCACATCTTCGGGAATCGACGCCCTGTAGTGTACTTAACCTCCAGTTTCTACGCTAACTTCACACTACAAGAACACGGAAATAAAGTCAACCCGGCAACGTTTGAAAATGGCCGCCCGAATGACTATTCCCTCCAAAACTAAACAAGATCCCGCTTAAATTTAAAAAGTGGCACGTGATCAAACATCTAAGGCAGTACCCCCTTACGTTAGTTGTAGACAACGCTTTGACCTGACGCACAGTAGGGAAGGAACGTAAAATAAAACATTCAAATTGTGAAAAGTTCGTTTAATAATTATCGTAATTGTTATGATTGTACAAGCTCGGAAATTTAAGTCCAAAATAAATTACATTGCAAAAATAAACTTCGAAAATGGTAATTCACAGAATAAAAACAGAAATAGGCTGGGAAAAAAAGAACTTACCAATAAAAAACCAGCCGTCAAATTAATGTTAAATCGACGCTTCGGAGGCACGCAGAGTATTCTAGAGAGTTAATTTTAATGAGGAGATTGATTCAAGCTAATGTTAAAGTAACTGCAACTTGCAAGACAGCTGTTGAAATTTGGATAAAACTAGTACATATAGTTCGTATCACCAATAACTTAACATTTCTCACTAGGTCGTTAAGTAGCGGCAATTCCCACTGCGACATTTAAAACAATAGCACAATAACCCCCATTTAACTAAAAGTCAGCGGTTCTCAATAAAATTTTAATGTTTCAAACGCCAAATTGTAGTGCTCGTATAAATCGGCCCAGACTACTAGCGAAAGGGTACAATCAAAGGCATGGGATTGATTTTCATGAGAATTTTAGTTCTGTTGCGAGAACTGATAATTTGAAAAACCAGGGCCCACTCAACCTCATTTGTTCATTCTCGCGAATCCTAACCAAGGCCTCGGTGCCCTCTTCTTCTGCAACTTCTTTGGTTGCGTCGGTTTCCTCAGCTTCTTTGACATCATTGCCCAATTCGCCTACCTTAACCTGCTTAAAATCTTGGGCTTCTTCGATTTTCTGAGACTAGTTTGACTTTTCACCTTCACTTCGGCTCCTTTGTTTTTCTGTAAATTGCGGCATTCCTTGTCTTCCTCTGGATTTTTTGGCATCTTTAGCTTTCTAGAGCTATGACATCTTCGGATGTGTAGAAAAAATTCATCCAGACTTGTGCCAGCATTGGGTTTATACTCTTGGAGTTATAGTAAAACGTAGTTCTCCATTATCTTAGTAGGATATTTCACCGATCTAGAACGATATCATTTATTGTGAAATCCAATGTCTTATCAAATAACCGCGTCTCATAATATCAAAAACACTTCAAAACATGTAAAAAATTTAAAAATAAACGAAAATATCAATCTCGACGATAAGCACTGGACTTTACTCGTCATTAGTTTGAGTGCTTAGGTTAAGAAGTGAGTTTGCATAAATTGGTACATATGCTCTTTGACCCGTCCTCTTAATGTTCCGACATGGTCACAAGTTCATCTGCCCCTGGAACCCTCCGCAGAAGTAATTCCCGTAGTGCTCAATGCAAAAGAGTTCGGCCGGTTCCAGTACCACGACTTCCTAAAGGAAAGGTTGGAGGATGGTGCAAAGGCTATTATAGACCCAATCAAGACCAACAAGGTTCCACTTTTCAGTGCAGTCGCAAGAAACAGTACTGGACATCAAGCAAACAACCAAAGCAAAAATCGTGGAATTCAATGGTGACCGGAATTTGTTTAGTGAAGTGTATTGAGAGGTTCCACCCTGTATATACAACTTACGACGATGCACACATTTTTGAGAGTTGGCAACCATGCAATTTTTAGGATGGGAAAGCGATTTGCGCCATCTGAAGAGCACGAACGGTGGTTACGTTGATCACCTTGTCTTGAATGGCGGTCGTGAACGCGTCGCTCCGTAAATGTTTGTTGTTATTTTGTGTGTTTTTTAATGCAGGTAGTAATTTTTGCATTTCTTTATATCGTATTTGTGTTTTGTATGCCACATTTTATATTTTTTGTGTGTTTCAATCTTTGTTTTTGAAATTTACTTGGTTTAACCGCAATGCATAATCACATAGGTATGTGATACCGTTATGCTATTGTTTGTAATTGTTTACGTTTTTGGTGTAATGTTTGCTTAATTGATGTTTATTGATGTTGATTACTTGGTCTTGTCCCTTAAGAACATTCACATAAGTTTTGATCAGTTTATTTTTATATGTGGAAATTACCGATTCGTTTGATGTATGTTCTGACTTGTTTGTTACTAACATTTTTCTCCATGAATGAAGCAGTCACGGGGGTGGTAAAAACTGTAACCATTTGAAGTACGACACCTAATTCCGTGATTGTCTTCGACTTTCAACTGTAGGCTCGAAACCCCGACACCAGGGGCGGGTTACCTATCTTGCAGGAGCGGGATTACGCTAATCAAAGCTCTCCAGTTTAGAATCTATGTGTGATAAATGATTTACGATTCGTAATTTCCACATATCTTGTTCTAGTTAAATTTGCCTACAAGACCATGTAAATTTCCATCTTGCTTTTAACAAAAGGACTTTACTGCACCAAAGATGAGTCGCATCCTGCGTATTTCAACCTTTCTTAGAATCTTGGTACCTGCTTACCTGACCAATAATTCCCAAAACTTGTTTTTAGCCTATATGTTACCTCTTGAAGTCTACACGTTTCTTTTTGTGATGTTATAATTTTATGTTACGCATTCACATCATTACAAACAATTAATTTTACTACACAATTTAATATTAATTTGACGGCTGTTTTTTTTATTGGTAAGTTCTTTTTTTCCCAACCTATTTCTATTTTTATTCGGCGAACTACCATTTTCAAAGTTTATTTTTGTAATGTAATTTATTTTAAGTTAAATTTCCGAGCTTTTACAATCAATAATAATTACGATCATTATTAAACAAACTTTTCACAATTTCAGTGTTTTATTTTGCGTTCCTTCCCTACTGTGCTTTCAGGTCATAGCGTTGTCTACAACTAACGTAAGGGGGTCCTGCCTGAGATGTTTGATCACGTGCCACTTTTCAAATTTAAGCGGGATCTTGTTTAGTTTTGGAGCGAATAGTCATTCGGGTGGGAGGGCATTTTTAAACGTTGCCGATTTGACTTTATTTCCGTGTTCTTGTAGTGTGAAGTTAGCGTAGAACCTGGGGGTTAAGTACACTACAAGCCGCTTGTATTACGGCCCGTGCTGCACGAATCAAGGCACATCAGGACAAATTTCGAGATTTTGTGTAGGTACATATTTAAGTCAATCATTTTATCTTTTGTATCTCATCAGTTATCTTTGAGCATTGAGCACGCCTTTATATTCTGATAGCGTTTTCGATTGGCAAAACTCGTACTGCACGAGTGCAATTTTTACGTTCTATTGGTAATTTTAGGGCAATTTTCTGTGTTCCATTGGCAAATGTGATGCAACACGCACTCAGTGCAAATTTCGACGCACGAGGTCCGAGAGCTCGTGGAGCTGCTAGTTAACAAATTTTCAAAACAAACGTGCGACAATTTGAATTTGTTTCTTGCGTTGGGAGAGTTTTTTGTCGTCATTTAGCGATAGCGAAGATCGATGAACTAGCCATAACTTCTATTTTACAAAAAGTTGCACTTACTCATTAAACTGAACGCCAAAAATTGGTCCTTTACAGGAATTTCAAATTTATATTCCTCATCGTTTATCATAAATAATCACAGAGTTGTATACCTAACTCTGTGTAAATAATACTGAAATCGTTTGTCATTTTTTAGAATAGAGATTGGTCGATTACCAAAATCTAAAATGAGGTTATGGACAAATGACAACAAATATTTACGAATATTTATGTTCCATTGAGAGCAATTTTCACATGGATTTCTTCAGTTTCTCGTGCAACACTCGTGCAGTACGAGTTTTGCCAATCGAAAACGCTATGAGAACACCCAAACAACTGGCTGTGGCTAAAGGCCCTATGTTCTCAAGTTCCTCGACTTGTTGCATTCAAGAATTAAATATTCCGGGCAGTTGAACGGATAAGGACATCTCAATCATGCAAAGTTGTTAATGCAACATTAACTTTCGTTAAGCAATGTCTTGGCATTCTTCTGATAAATTTGTACAAATACAGATTCAGTCATGAGCATTTGTATTTCACAAATGTTTTGATTGATATTTGCTGGAATCTTACTTTAAGGTACGTTTTAATTTTTCATTCGATCACACACTATTTTCATAGTAGCGGAAAAAGTTACTTAACAATTTTATTTTTAATAGGTACTAATAAAGTAGCTGATAATTACAATTTATACAAGAAACGGTTTTGGCGACTATGCTTAAACTACTTACAAAAGGCCTACGTCCATAAATATCTTAACTACGAAGAAATGTGACATTATTATATTATAATCATTTAAAATCTTTACAATTGGTATGTTTTAAAACGTGTCGTTTCAAATTACGTTTGATCTTTGTCTCGTAATAACAATTACCGCATTTAAAATCCTTACAATCGGTATGCCTCAAAAGGTGTTGTTTAAAATTGTATTTGTTATTTGTCTCGTAATTACACTTGGCACATTTCAAATCTTTCGAGACATTGTGTCTTAAGAGATGCCGTTTCAAGGAAGTTTTCCGGTTGGTGGCAAAATCACAGATGTCACATCTAAAATTTTTAGGTCCTTTATGTTTTAAAATATGTTGTTTAAGATCGCTTTTATAGTTTGTGGCATAATCACAATTGTCACATTTAAAATCTTTAGAAACTTCATATTTTTTGATATGCTTTTTAAACTCGTTTTTATGGTTAGTGGCATAATCACAATTTGCACATTTAAAATCCTTCGAGATCTTGTGTGTTAAGAGATGTCGTTTTAAGGAACTTTTACGGTAAGTGGCATAGTCACAATTAACACATTTAAAATCATTGGAACCTTTATGTTTTAAGAGATGTACTTTGAGTTCGCTTCTAAAGTTTGTGGCGTAATCACAATGAGCACATTTAAGATCTTTAGCTCGATTGTGCAATGAAATATGTGTTCTCAAATTGCCTTTACTATTTGTGGCATAGTCACAATTGGCACATTTCAAATCTTTCGAGTCGGTGTGTGTTAAGAGATGTCGCTTCAAGGAACATTTAAGGTAAGTGGCATAATCGCAAATGCCACATTTTAAATCTTTAAAACCTTTGTGTTTTAAGAGATGTTGTCCAAGATCGCTTCTAAAGTTTGTGGTATAATTACAATGAGTACACTTAAAATATTTCGAGACGTTGTGGGTTAAGAGATGTCGTTTCAGAGAACCTTTCAAATTTGAGGCGTAATCACAAATGTCACATTTAAAATCTTTTGAAACTTGATGTGTTAAAAGATGTCGTTTCAATGTGCTTTCAAAGTGTGTGGCATAACCACAATTGCTACATTTAAAATCCTTATCCTTATGCATCAAGCGATGTCTTTTCAAAATTGATCTGGTACGTGCTACGTATTGACAGCAGTTACATTGCAACTTTACCGTTGGAGGGGTAAACTTTGACGAATATACTTCTTCCCTATGGTACTCATCGCAAAAATGTTCTGCAGCGATCACACTTTCATTATCCTCTTTTTTTACAGTTGCCAAAACATCATTGCTCACGATAATTTTAGTTTGGAACGATACATTTATTTCTTCTTCTTGTTTCGGTTCGATTTTAACATGTGCCTTGTTCTCATTCTCATCCATGCCTATAACAATTTTTAAATCGTAAGGCAAAACTTAGTAGGTACTTACTTACCTTAATTAAATGCAACAGAAAGGTATTCCACTCGATGTGACCATCACCAAGGGCTTAGATATAGGTATGTATCCTTTGCGATTAATTGTGGGGGCTTAAAATTAATTTTGTGCTATTAAACCAACCTACGAATTACCACAGAGTAAGTGTTTTGTCCTTTTCTTTTGTCAAAGAATAAAAAGGTCTGGTATGGTATGCAGTCATGATTTGGAGAATCAGCCGTCTTGGATGTTTTCAGTGGCGTTTTCGCAACGCTTTGTTTATTTAAATGAATAGGAATAAACAAAGATATAATTAAACATGCTTTTATTAGTTATATACAGGATACGATATTGGGCGGTATCTCTTCACAAGGTGGTTGTGCAACACAACCAGAACTGCTGTGACTACTACTACTACCACAACAAATTGCCTGTGCATAAAAGTAAAAATATGTGTTGTACAGGGTGCTCTATAAATGTGATATGAGACATTGTTCTAAAAATGCATACTTTTCGTTTAAAGTGAATTGAGTACATATTATGGGGCACCGTTTGTGTCATAATTATGCACCCATAATAGTATATTAAGTATGGAGAACGGTAAGGGATTTTTACCGTTCGAAGACAATTATTGTCTGAGAACGGTAACCCTTAACGTTCGACGTGCTTATAACATTTTTTGCGCGATCGAAATTAACATTATCCAACCAATATAACTATGCACTAAGAAATTAACGAGCAGAATAAATCGAAATAATCGAAGTGGTATGGTGTACATCACTAGGTAACCAGTTTAAATGTCAAAATTGAAATTAATAATTTCATAAAAATGTGCATGTGTCTGATGTAGTTTACTAGCTTTGCACTTCCTTTATGACTTTATGAGCGTCTTGCTATAGGAAACAACAGCACAAATTGTACGTTTAATGTACCTAACAATAATTAAAGATTAAATGTAATGTAAGACTGTTGATTTTTAAAAAGGCGTCGGTAAGTATTTTTGCTGTTCTGTTTTTAGATCGGTAAGTAATTTTGGCGTCGTCGTAATCATAGCAACTGGTAAATTCTACGTACTGTCATGGAAACACCCATGGTAAATAGTCAGAAATGACCGATCGCGCAAAAAATATATTTCTTTTAGATAAAATATCATTATTTGGTCGATATATAGTACTTTTTGAACATATGTACATATATAATTTGCCCGTATATCTATATGTTTCATCGTCTCCGTAAGACTTATGCATATAGTAATATTTATTAAGAAGTAGACATAGGGATTTAGGTGTATTGTTTTTCCCTATGTCTTCTTCTCTGGCTTTAGAGAAAATGGCAGTCTTACGCTCCCTAAACTGTTACCGGAATTGTACCAATTGACAATATCAATTCTTTGTTGAGTTTAATACATCGCACATGAACGAAAATATAAATACGGAAGCCAAAGCAACCATATTCAAATTAATTAAGATCTTCATTTTTTTTAAGAAGTTGCATAAAATTAGGCGCACTTCAGAAAAAAAATTATTATTTAAATGTAGACATAGGGAAAAACAAAACACGCAAATCCCTATGTCTACTTCTTAATAAATATCACTGTATATTAGAACAATCAAAACGTATATATTAGGCAAACTCTCGACAGCGCATAATTTATAACTTTCAGTTGTACTGATCTTAACCGGTAACCCACCCCCAGGCTCGAAATGAAAATGACAGATTTCACGGAAAAGTGGCAACGTTGCAATCCCAGTATCAAAACACGGTTCCCGCCTAAAATTCAAACAAAAGAATGGCACGTGATTGGATCGTCTACGGTAGGACCCCTTTACGTTACACGAAGCTAATACAATGACTCGGGACCCAGTCGGGCAGGAACACTCAAATAAAACACTGTAATGTCTGCGAGTTTATTTATTATAAACTTATTCTGAAAAACCCGGAATTTGGATGTAGTACATTAAAAGCAAAGCAAGCAAAACCGAAAGGTGCCGCACTCTCGCAAAAGCAGACTACCAAGGCGAAAAAGAGCGCGACTTGAGAAAAACCTTGGCCGTGAATAAAACCCAAACTATTGTAACGTGATTTATAAATTCGGGTTCGATTTATATCAATATTTATTAAACAAAACTAAAACACTACAAAAACCGTACAATTTATATCGATTATTTATCACACACACTTCGCAATTTATATTTCCGCGCTCGATCTCGTTCGGTAGTAGACTGTCGCGATGTTCGGTCCGCAACCATTTATACACGCAAGCAATGTAAGTCCAGCACATTCGTGTACATTCTCGAATAGTCCTACACAATCCACTATCGCGCGCGTAGAAAATTCCAGAGCGCCAAAGGCGACGTCATGTCTGGAGCGTTTCCGTTACACTGCCCCCTTCTTAATTCTGGACGTCTCGTTCAGAAACTGCGTTAGTATTACTTTTTAATGCCTCGTGTCGGAATCTGCAGTCAGAGCCTGCTCGACAAACACCTTTCTTGAAAAAGTAACAGTCCACAGTTTTGCGGAGGGTCGTCCCCTGTGGGTTGAAGCAGCATACTGTAATTCGAACGCTAGTGTTTCTAAAAATCACTTCGATCATGGTTCGCACTATTTTCCAGTCCAACCCATCTAAACCACATCCAATCTTCGGGATCGCCAAGCTATTTATGTCATAGTATGCCATGAGTTTCTTTAAGCTTTTTAAAGCAGGCCAGAGGTTTTCATAGGTGGGTTTGCCTTCTGACGTTTTCTTTGAAACCAAGTAGAACAAAGAGCGTTGACTATCTTCCAAGCGCAGTACTTTACCTACTCGGGGTCTTTGCTTTAACAACTCGTCTATTCTCCCAAATCTTTTCCGGAATACGGAAGCTATACCTCTACCCATGCGAAGGTCTTCGGCGACACAATGGGCGATGGAAACGTTAAGCGGAAGCTCAAAAATATTTTGGCAAATTTCCTGAGTAACGCCAAATCGAGCTTTCTTCCGCTGGGCGTAATTTGACATGAAATCGTTAAAGTTTGGCTCGATCCCAAAGCTGCGTTCCTCTTCTCGAATACCTTTAACTTCTTCGTTGTTGTTGGATCCGGCATATCGTGCGAGTCTATTAATGTGGACAACTTTCGGTTTCCGGTGGTTCATTCTGATACGATATATCACGTCATTTATTTTCTTGATCACCTCATACGGACCTTCCCATTGTCTTTGTAGCTTGGGAGAAAGACCTCTTCGTCTCTGTGGATTGTGCAGCCATACCAGATCTCCAGCTTCAAAAGTTTCATTGGCCGAGCGGAGGTTGTATTGATTTTTCATGCGATCGCTGGCAATCTGAATATGACTTCTAGCCAAGTCGTGAATATCGTTCATCTTCGCCTTTAGTTGGTCAACATAATTTTCACCTGCGACATATTCTTCATGGGGTTTACGCCCAAACTCGAGATCACATGGAAGGCGTAGTTCACGACCCAACATAAGGCAGGCAGGAGTCTGACCCGTGGTCTCGTTGACGGCTGATCGATATGCCATAAGGAACAGGTGGAGGTACTGGTCCCAATTTTTCTGATGTTCTGCCACGACTTTTGAAAGATATTTACCCATCGTTCGATTCATTCTCTCAACCATTCCATCTGACTGAGGATGCAAAGGTGTTGTTCTGGTTTTATTGGCTCCTACCAATCGACAAACATCTTGGAACAAAGCCGATTCAAAGTTCCTTCCTTGGTCTGAATGGATTTCTATAGGAACACCAAAACGTGTAAAAAACTCCTTTACCAACACTTCTGCAACTGTTGCTACCTCTTGGTTTGGAATGGCGTAAGCTTCAGTCCACTTTGTGAAATAATCCATAGCGACTAGGATATATTTATTTCCGCCATATGTCTCGGGAAACGGTCCTGCGATATCGATAGCAACTCGTTCCATCGGACTACCAACGTTATACTGCCTCATGGGTGCCTTCTTCTTGGAAACTGGTCCGTTTCCAGTAGCACATAACTCACATTTTTTGACACCATCGCCGGACATCTTCTTTACGGTTGACCCAATAGAATCGCTCACGTACCCTTTGCAACGTTTTCGTAATACCAAAGTGTCCTCCGGAAGCGCCGTCATGCAATTTTCGCAATACTTCTGACACTTTGCTTCTAGGTACTACTAATTGCAGCGTCGATTCAGTGCCATCTTCACTTTCAAGGGTCCTATACAACAGGTTGTCTTTCAGAGTCAGGCTATTCCATTGGCCCCAATAACTCTTTACTTCAGGACCTGTGGCACTAATGTCTTGCCAGCCTGGTCTTTGTCCGTGGCGCATCCAATTCAGAACAGTTTTTATACTTGGGTCGTTTTCTTGGGCCGTTTTGATTTCGCTTGGCTTCCACTCCTCACTCTCTACAGTTGTTCGTCGCAGATGGCCAATCTTGTCTTCTATTTTAGAACAATGTGTGCAGTTGTCCTTGCACGGTCTTCTTGACAAAGCGTCTGCATTATTGTGAACTTTTCCAGCTCTGTGTCCAATCTCGCCGCAATTCCAACATCGTGGTTCACGTTTCTTTGCCAGTGACTGTATTGCTTTATTGACCTTTTCTTCCATTACTTTACTGACCTTTTCTACCACTACTTTACTGACCTTTTCTTCAAAACTTTCAGAGCCACCTTCCTCTTCGATGGTTCTTACCCGGCTCTCACTGCGAGGTTCCACCATACGTACTCGCGCACTTCCATGACTAGCTTTCTTGGCGGCTTCGAATTCTAATGCATGGGCCAAAGCTTTCTCAATTTTGTCGTGCCTAGCCAGTCTCAAAGCCTGCTGGGCATCTCCATCACGAACGGCATCGATAAATGTTTGTACAGCCAGTTGATCAAGAAAGCTCTCCGGTGCCGTAGGGTATGCCAATCGAATCAGTCTAGCGATGTCCGCTTCAAGTTCCTGCAAACTTTCTCCAGGTTTCTGCATTCGGTTCTTGACTTGGGCATAGTAAACTTGCTGAAGGTGTTTATCGCCATATCGCATTTCGAGTCGCGCTACTATTTGTTGGAAGTTCTGTTGATCCTCGGGGATGGTCCGCAACACATCCAGAGCATCTCCTCTCAGAGCAAGAATCAGGGCTGTAGTTTTGTCTTGAAGAGTCCATTTATTTGCCGCAGCCGCTGCTTCAAACTGTCGAACGTACGTGGTCCAAGGAATCTTACCATCAAAAGTAGGTGGCTTTACTCGGGCTTGCTGAACGTCGCCTTCTACTCTTGTATTTGTTCCTGGGTCGACCTTCTTGTAATGAGTAGGCTGTGGCACCTCAAGAAGACGGTCCATCAGTAATTCATCTGGGGCACTACTAGTACGCTTTTCCGTAGTCAGTCGCAAGAATTGCTC